AGTTTAACAGATTCAGGAGGAGAATTACTAGCCCGAGAGTCAGTGTGGCCCAGGGTATCTACCTGTCTCTTAGGAGCTGTGGCACCTGGGACAGAGCATTTAAACTCTCTTAGTCTCAATTTCCTCCTCAGGAAGTAGAAAGGTTCTTCGAGGTTAAAAAAAATAATTCATTCAACAAACATTTGCCTGCCTGCTCAGTGCCAGACTGAAATGCCCTGCGGCCCAGGCAGGCAGCATGATAGCGAGGGGCAGGCACCTGTGAGGGACCCGCGGGCAGAGAGAAGAGGGACATGACGGCTCAGGCATGGGGGCTGCCACCACTCAGCTTTGTCACCTCCTCCACTCTTGAGAAAACCCAGAAAAACAAATCTCCCCCATGTTAAATCACCCAAACTCCAAATGTAAAATTCGCTCACTCTGCATACACGTGAATACGTACCCTCACCGACACACAGGCTGCAGCTGACTTCCAGGCCTGCATGTGTGACCTGTGTCTACTCAACACGATGGCCAAAGGGACCAGTGTTACCATGTCCTCTAGATCAACATCCTCTACCCTTAAGTAATTACTCCTTGGGCTTGGAAGCTACAGGGTCAGATAGCATTTAGGGTCTACACTGCCCCGGGTTCCAGCCTCCAGGAGAGCAGACTCCCTGGCACTGCCAGTGTACAGTCCAGGCGAGAGGAAGTTCCACTGGAAACAACCTGGTCCAGGCTCGCCTGCTTCTGTGCTCCAGGTTCACCACGAAGAGGAACCCCAGCATCTCAGCAGCAGACAAGAGCCCTGTAATGTGAGGTTCCCCCTGCCAGACTTTATCAATGAGGGCTTTATAGAACCTGCCACCTTCCTCACAGGCCACTGCTGACTGGGACACGGAGAGCAAGGAGGCTGACCAACCTCTGAACAAACAACACAAGGGGTGGGGGTGCAACCCTCCACCCACTGAAAACCCACACCTGCCAGGGACCAAGCAGCACTGTCCCTTCAGGCTAGTGAGGGCTCACTCCATGCAGAGAAGAGAGCAGAGGGGCCACCACACTCCCGAGACGTGTGCTGTGGGCCACTGGGCACTGGTGCTGGTCATCTTACACGATGCCCAGAGCTCTACAAAGATAACCAAAGTCCCACCCACCCATCAGAGACACACAGTAATGCCCAATGCATCTCAGCTGCCCAAACCAGTGATTCCCCTCTCACCAGGACACTCACCTGGCTGTTTGGGTCTCCCAGTAAGTTACATATGTGGGGCACTATCTTGCTTAGTGTCAGAGTATGTGCTCCCGAGCTGAAAACAAAAGGAGGGGGGTGAGAACAGGAAAGGAAGATGCTCCTCCACCCTCTCATGCCTCCCTCTTCCCCTGGCCCAGTGCCACCACACACCAAGGCTCCCGGTCCAACCACCCCATCTGGTTCCAATGCAGACACAGACCCCTTCCGCCCCTTCGCACAGAGGTCACAACTGTCAGTGCTTTTCTCTGGCGAGTCTCCCCCTTGGCACTCGGTGCCCTCCCTCCCCGCTCCGCCTAGCCCCAATCTTTCCCAAGGCCTCGCCTGCCTCACACAGGCTGTCCTGGCACTACTGTCTTGCCCTGGTCAACTTCAGTGTCAACTAAACTGCAAGTCCCACGGGTCCTCCCCTAACTCCCTGTGCGCACAGCTCTCTGTTGAACAAACATTCAATTAACAAGCGCTCAGTGTGAGAAATGGCTGCAGAGGTTCCGAGGGAACACCGTTCTGCTGCACCTTTTCACCACCATCCACGCTGTCACAAACATCCTCTGTGAACACAATGCTCTCTGGTTACTCCCTTAGGATTCTCAGAAGTGGGACGACTGTGATCAAAGGCTCAAGCATTTTTTAAAAAACTTCAGATACATGTGGCCAAATTTCAGGACACTGAAAAGGCTAGCACACGAAGAGGAAAAACTTTACAAGGTAATATAAGCATTATAATCTGTTTTGTTTTTTGAAAGTAATAAAACTCTAAAGGCTGGAATAAAATGTTAACATGTTAAGAGTGATTAGCAGAAGGTGGTAGGATTACAATGGTCATTATTTTTATGTAAATTTCTGTGATATATACAGTATTACTTTTCATAACCAAAAATGGCGATTCATAAATTTTAAGAAAGCCTCTCCTACAAATAAGAACATGGAAAATGTCCAACATCAACAGTTATTAAAGACACACTGATTAAAACTACGATAACATATCATTACATACATATGGTTAAAATTAAAACCAGTGATAACATTTGACACAAGCAATCATATATTGCTGGTGGTAATGTAAAATGGTACAGAAAACTCTGGAAAACAGTTTGGCAGTTCCTCTTAAAGCTAAAAATGAACTTACCAAATGACCCAGCAATTGTACTCTTGGGCACTGACCCAACAGAAATGAAAACTTATGTTCGTGCAAAAACTGATACATGTGTGTTCATAACAGCTTTCTGTGTAACAGCCAAAAACTGGAAATTATTCGAATATCCTTCAATAAGTGAATGCTTAAACAAACTACCATGTCTACACCAGGGAATTCTACCCAGCAACAAAAAGAAATGAACTACTGTTCACGCAATGAGATATACGCAACCTCAAGGAAATCAGGCTGAGAGAAAAAAAGAGTCGACCTCAGAAGGTTACATTCCACATGATTCCACTTACAGAACTTTCCTGAACCGAAGCACAAATGGGTGGCCAGCAGGGGCGCGCGGGGAGTGGGGTGGGGGTGGGGCATATGGACCCTGTGGGCAGCATGGCTCCTTGGACGCGGTCAACACCCACTTCTCGGCAGGACCCTGCCCCAACACGGGGGCGCCCACACCTCCCCACACAGCTCCCCACAACCCGCCCAGACTTACGCATTGAGTGTGGCAACGAGGCAGAGACAGGTGCCTTCCCGGGTGCGGAAGTTCTTGTGCTTGAAGCCGCCCAGCATTCGGTCCCATACGTACTGCGGAGGCAAGTGTGTGGTGAGCGGGGACAGGTGCCCTGCAGCCCTCACTCAGCACGCAACCTGGACTGCAGGGTCGTGGAGGGGACCACAGCAGGGGCCAAACCAGTTCGGCCTCCCTTGGCCCCTCTGTCCTCTCAAGAGCAGGCCAACAGATGTATGCCAGGTTGGGAAAAGTCAAAACACCTTCCTTTACATACCTGCACTGAATTCTCCCCACCCCAAACCCATCCACTTGCTGGGTGAGGAAGTGAGACCAAACCAGGCTGGGAGACTTGCCCAGGATCCCAGGCTCACTCACTTTTTGGGCCTAGAGCAGCGGTGCCCACCTTCCCACCAGAGAAAAACCTGCTCAGCTTTGAAGGCCATCTGAGAAGGCTGCTCCTGATACCTCCCTACCCACCCAACAGTGGCCAGCAGGACCCCGTCCCCATGCCTGTCATCCCAGTGGCCCCAGTTCACAAGGAGACAGGAATGAGGGCTCCTGCCAGGCCCCTGATTGCCCAGACACCACAGCCACACCCTCTCAGAGATGCAGAGAGCTCGCATTTAATGGATTAAACCAAGTGCTCCATACCCACGTTAAGTCCACCCATTTATCTAGAATATACCTTTTGCTATTTATTATTTACTGAAACATCCTGTGGGGGGAAGAGGGACCGCATGAAGTGCTCTGGAAATTTTCCTCTGAAACTCACTGACGTGATGTCATGCAGGACCGAGCACTAGCTGGGCCCAGAACCCCCTGCCTTACCTGGGGACTAGCAGCTTGATCCATGATCTTCAGCAGCAGAGTCTGGTCTTGCTCCCTCACAGAGTCCTTAGCATCTCCCAGTCTGTCTATCAAACTCGGCAGCACTGGAAATCAAAACACAAACTGACTGATCAAAAACAAGAACCGCAAATTGATCAAATGAAAACTTATTTGGCGGTCTATGGTCGACTAAGTTACTTCAATCAACAAGACACCTCAAAATCCTGGCCTACAGTATGATGTCTGTCATTCTAAAACCACCAGTCCTTGTAACTCTATACTCCTTGCTCAAATCCACAGGAGCTATTGTAAGAATCTGCAAAAATCCTGTGCGTGGACACACCATTTATCTTCTTCCTCACCCCACCTTCCTCCAGGCAGCTCCCAACACATTTTTAAGCTGCTGAAATGCTGTTAAAATGGATGTCAATGGAAGAACCTGGCAGGAAAGAGTCGTACAAAAGGAAATCCAGGTAGAGAGGGGTTCCTGTGAATCTGCTTGTTGGGAGAAGAAACAGGCACTGTGGCTCAACATCTCTTTCACGTACACTGTGTTTCAATTTTGCACAACGCACATGCACCTCATCAGACAGAGTGCAGCTTCCCGCTTCCTCCCCAAGCTGCCTGGGGCCCCTAGCTGCTGCTCCAAGGGCACTTCCTACCAGATGTCAATTTACTCTGCTTCCCCTGAGAGTCTACAAACATTTCTTTCACAAGAGGTAGCCCTGAACAACTCAGCTCATTTAGGAGGAAAATAGAACACTAATAAAATACCAAATTTCTAAAAGTAAGGGGGATTTTTATTTGTAGATGGAGTTTGTGCCAGGGTGGGAAGAGTTCATGACCTTATTTAAAGGCACACATTGACCAGAAAGTTGGCACAAAGGAACAAATACACGTGTACCAATTCTATACGGAAATATTTGCACAAACAGAGCCCCTTAGTGTTTGTATTCTCATTATGAAATCCCAGACCCTGGGAATTAAGACATCTCTCTCTTTTTTTTTTACATTCTTTATTGATTCATACTCATTTTACAGTGTTGTGAAGACATCTCTTAATATGTGAAACTGCAGTTACTTTCATTTCATATTGCCAACATACTGATTTCCTTAAAAAAAAGTAATCATTTATGATGACATTTACAATCAAAGTGAAAACAGTAATACCAAAAATAACCCGGAAAAAACAGAACTGTCGGATCTGCGGGGCTCAGGGACAAGGGTGACTTGGCTGACAGGAAAGTGATAGCTAATTCGTTTAAGAAATGAAAGAATTAGCAGTAATGATTGTAGAACAGGGAGGTGGAAGCAGCCAGCGGTAAGGTATGAATGGGGGCGTGGGGGGGGGCACCAAGGCTGGGAGCGAGGGCAGCCCCAGCAGGCAAAGCCCGTGTGAGGCGGTGGGGCGGGCTGGGCTGGGCGCGAGGGTACAGCCAAGCGGAGGGTCTGGGGAGACTGGGAGAAGGCGGGGATGCACACCTGCGCGAGCTCACCTGTGCCGATCTGCGCCTTGAACCGATCCTGCAGCCGGGTGACCAGAGCGGACAAGATGTCCATGCCCAGGAGGACCACCTGCAATGGGAAACCCGGCACTGTGAGCGGCCTGCCGGCCAGCGGAGGCAGCCCCCAGCTCCCAGGACGCCAGCTTCTCGGGCTCCATTGCTGCGCTAGAGCCCTGAAGGCAGCGTCGCGGCCCCGCCCCCTGCACGTATGCAAATCAACCCGCGGCCGGCGCGTGGCCTGCTGGGTAACACCGAATGGCCTGTCTGCGACCTCCAGAAGCCTCAGAAAAGGAGGAGCTGGTGGTCTGCTGTGGGGGCTGCGGTTCGCACACGTGTGCCAGCAGCCAAGGGCCGCGGCAGGGCTCCCGGCTGGTCACCACAACCGAACCCCAGATTGGTGCTCCCTACCCGCAACGCAGCCAAAGCTATTAACAACCATCCTTTTCTTGGGGTTGCGCTACTGCCCGATGAGCGCTTGGCGAGGGTAGTACTGCTAACGCCTAACAACACGCCCGCGTCGGTAGGGCTCTGCTCTTCTCGGCGCAATTTTTGGAAAAAAGAAAAACCTCTTTTCCACCAGCTCATAGTGCAAACGATAGTTTGAGAATAAATGCGTGTGTTGCGCGAGGCCCGCAGAGGGCGCTCCAAACATAGCATAGCTAACACTTAGCTACCACCCCGGTTCAAAGTAACCGACAGGATCTCGGCGGTATCTGTCCGGAGAGCGCCGAGAATGCGAATTTCTCTACTCAGCTTTGAATCCTACAACTTCAAAACTGAAGTCAAAATTTAATCAACATCACTACAGTACACAAAGCATCTCTGCAAGTGATTAGGTACTTGAAGATTAGAAGACAGAACTGTTTTAAACTTGTATAAATAGAACATCGGTTTGTGGACAGATGTGTTTCAATGTTATGGTAAAAACAGCTGAAAATGACTTCATGAGCTACAGAGGATTCGATATCATGCTTTAACTTCCCTCCAAAGAGTACAGTGTGGAATTAGACCACGGTAATTTTACACTGGAAAAATCTCAACAGTCATACATCATGTTGGCGGTATGTATGCTTCGTAAAGTGATCAAAGGCACTTTAGGGCTGTGATCCTTTGCCTCAAAACATGTAAGCCCAGTCTAATGAGAAGAGTAACATCCAATTACAATAGAGAGACACACTACAAAATGCCTAACCCATACTCCTCAAAACCAAAGTCATCAAAAACAAGGAAAGTCAGAAACTGTCACACAATTAACTGTAATGTGGTATCCCGGTGGGATTCTGGAACAAAGTACATCAGATAAAAATTAAGGAGACCTGAATAAACTATGGACTTAATAACAAACATTGGTTTATTAATTTTAACAAATATACCATACTAGTGTTGGCTGTTAATGATATATAATGGGAGACTGGGTGTGGGATACATGGGGGGCTCTGTAATACCTTTGCTATTTTTCGATAAAACTAAAACTGTTCTAAAAAATTAAACGTTATTTTTTTTTAAAGAGCAGCCTATCAGTTTGGAATTGGCTTTTCCGCAATGAAATCTTGAGCATCAGTACAGCTGCAGTACTGGTCCGGGCAGAAGTGTCCTTCATTACAGAAATAGTAACAAGTGCCTTCAGTGCTCACAGTCCCCTCACAATCACTCAAGACTGAGATGTAAGAGGCAGTGCTTTTTCAGACATGACAGCCATGTCGGGGAACCCCATCTGTGGAGTCAGGGACTGACCAGGGCCAGCCAACCTATACCCTAGACAGTCAAGTTCCCCAAGTGTCGCCCAGAGAGATGGAGGGAGTCCAGAGATCGTTGCAACAGGGCCGGGCAGACACGTCCCGAACATGCAGATGGGGGGAGGCGGCTGAAGAGCTGGGGGGTGGGGATGCAGGGAGGAGGTGGTAGGGGGTCTCAGGCCCACATCCTTGGCTAGGCCAGGAATGCTGCATAGCCTGGAGCATCTCCTCTAACGTTCTACTTAATTTCCTGAGTGTATGCTGGTTCTCCCAGCTAAACTCCTTGAATGGAAGGAATAGGATGTTTTGTATTTTCTAGGAATTCCCATTACATATATATATAGCACAATAGCAGGTACATGGTAAGTGATCAATAATCCCCTACTTTACTGACTAATAATGAATTCGTTTGGAACAGATGTGTTCTCAAGTCCAACACAGTTCCTTTACCCTACAACTTTAAAAAGTCGTGATAATGGCTAAGTAACTCCAACCAACCCTCAGGCTGAAAACAACTAAAAATGCTGGATTATCATACAAAGGGAACACTTGCTTCAAAACATCAGAGAACTAAAGAGGCACAAAAGAATTACCAGGTCATGAAAAATAAGAAAACTAAAATCCAGAGATACAAGCCTGCAGCAAACAGTCTACTTTTGCCCTGGGGCCATTTATACACTGCAAAAGGGCAAAAGACACACTGAGAATTACTTCTGCTAACTGTCTGAATCTGGGAGAACAGAGGTTCCAGAGCCCTCAAAGACTGGTGGCCCAGAAATCCCCCTACAACTTGAGCTGGAAATCCAAATAGCTGTACCTTTGGAGAGTAAACTGGAAATAAAACGGCTTCCAGATATACAGTTTCCTACAGACCAATTTCCAAAATCTGGGTGACCCAGAAAATACCAATCTCTAACAGCAGATGTAAATGATCTTACTACATTGCTGGTGCCCTAAAGCCCCTGGCAAACCATTTCTGGATGGAGACAGCATCCTCCTACTTTAGTCATCAATTTACTTCTGTAAACAATTCCCAAATACAATGTCCAAAACAAAACCAAAGATAACCAGGCACACAGGACAAGTATAACGATGCATGTAAGAGTAACTGCAAACAGATGTTAAAATAACAATTTTACTTACAATTGTTCAAATAACAATTCTTACTCTGTCTAAGAAGATAAAACACATGAGTAAAATTTGGGGGTATGACTACTTTTGGAAAGTGATATATTTTAAAGAAACAAACAATATAATGTCCAAATTAAGTACTCAATGGATGGGCTTACAAACACACTGGACATAGATGAAGGGGGAATTAAACAGGAAACTAAGTCTGCAGAAAAAATCCAGAATGAAGCCCAGAAAGACAAAAGACTGAGAAATTCAAAAGGGCACGCAAGAGACAAAGGATAGAGAGACAAGAACTAACAGAAGTTTAAATGGAGCTCACAAGGAGAGGTCAGCAACAGTGGGTAAAAAGCAATCACTGACACCCATTTGGATTACTATTCTATGAAAAACAAAACCAAACATAGAAAGAGAAAACAAGTGTTGGTGAGGATGTGGAGAAACTGGGACTCCTGTGCATTCATTGCATGCTGCAGTCACTGTGGAAAATGGCATGGTGGTTCCTCCAAAATTAAACAGTGTTCCCATATGACCCAGAAACTCCACTTCTGGGTATATACCCCAAAGAAGTGAAAGCAGGGATTCCAACAGATTCTTGTACACTCAAAACTCCAAGCAGTATTATTCATAATGGCCAAAAGGGGAAACAGCTAAATTCTGATACAAGTGTCAAACCAAGCATCATGATTGATTAAATGCTGGAAGCTTTCCCTTTGATATGGAGAACAAGACAAAAATTTACATTTATAATTTCTTTTCAACATTGTATTTGAGGTCCAAGCTAAAGCTTTATGGTAACAGAAAAAAATGAAAAGTATAAAGCTCACAAAAGAAAAACTGTCATTAATGGAAATTATAACTATCAGTAGAAAATCAAGAAGACCTACAAGTATATTATAAAATTAATGTGAGTTTACCAAGACTGATTAATACAAAGTCAATATACCAAAAAAGCAATTAAATTTCAATACCAAGCCCCCAAAAAGGAAATTTTTAAAGTTTCCAATTTTAATTGCAAAAAAACTAACACCTAGGAATAAATCTCTACCCCAAAAGCTATGGAACAATACAAATAAAAAGACTAAAATGAATTGGGGGGGAGGGTATAGTTTAGTGGTAAAGTGTGTGCTTAGCATGCACCAGTCTTGGGTCCAATCCCCAGTATCTCCGTGAAAAATAAATTAATAAATAAACCTAATTACCTCCCCATCCCTTAAAAAAGTTAAATGGAGCGATCAACTACAGACTGGAATACTTAGCATTGCAAAATTTCCATTTTTCTGAAATTGATCTACACATTCAATAAAACTCCCACTGAAAATCCCATTCAATAAAACTCCACTCAAAATCCCAACTATAATTTTTCTTTAGGAACTTAACAAGTTGATTACAAAAATCTATGTGGAAATGCAAAAGACAAGACAAAAGGTGATAAAACATGCTCCCAGCTGGACATCAAGATTATAAAACAGTAAGAATTAAGGCAATGTGCTATCAGTTCAAGGAGAGACAAATATAGCAATACAACAGAATAAAGAAACTGATGCATAAAGGGGCATTTTCTTTCTGACAAAGTAGGCACTACAGAGCAGTGAGAACTGGACTGCTCTTTTAAATAAACGCTCCCTGAGTTAACTGAATATCGACAAGGAATAGAAAAGAAACTGACTCCTATTCACAACATACATACAATGAATTCCTGGTAATAGATGTTAAGTGTGGAAAGTAAAATAATAAAGCTATTAGAAAATGATATAGGAAAACAGCTTCATGATCCCAGAATTGGGGAAAATATCAGGATTCAATCAACACAAACCAGAAAAGAAAAGACTGATAAACTGGACCAAATTAAAATTAAGAACTTCAGTGTACAAAAACACCCCAGGAAAGTAAAAGGCAAGTCACTGGTAAGAGATATTCATAAAACAAATATGCAACAACAAGCTTGATTCTAGAATATATACAGATCTACAAGCCAATCAACAGGCAACCCAGTAGAAAAATGGCCGAAGTATTTCAACAGGCATGTCACAAAAAATATCAGTGTTTGTAAGTACACGACAGCTGTTCAATCTCCATTAATCATCAGAGAAATGCCAATTAAAATTATGAGACAGCACTACTTACTCCCCTGAAAGGCTAAATTAATGGCTGACAAGACCAAATGTTGACAAGAATGGGTTACTACAGAACTTTCACACTTGCTGGTAGGAATGTAAACTGGTACAACTAACACTTTAGAAAATACCTTGGCTTTATCTGCCGAATTTGAAGATACACATATACAGCTATTTCGCTGCTAGAAATATGCCAACAGAAATGCATGCATGTGTACAGCAGGTGAAATGTACAGAAATGCTCAGAGCAGCACTATTCTTAACAGCCAAAAACTAGAAATCTGTGTATCCATCTCCTATATGAGAAAGCTGTTGTTTTCATACCAGGGAATTCAATGATCAGTGAATACAAATGAATCAAAGCTACACTCAACAATACAGATAAATCTCATAATAATGAATGAAAAGGTCAGACACAAAGTATATACATATTTGAATAAGTTCAACTATAAGCAACATTCACTGTAATTTCAGGGTGCATATTCAGATGTAAACTAAAAAGAAAAGCAAGAAAGTGATTAGCAGGCAAGTCAGGAGAGTGGTTACTTTGGGGGGGGGGCCTGCAATGTTCCA